ATGTTTCGTCATCCACGTGTAATATTCAAACCTCGTGTTCCTTACAAACTTGACGTGCGTACAGTAACAAGTATTTAGTTACGTAAAGCAGAATTCCAGCATGTATGGACATTACAATATAAACACGATAATTTTAAACCCTTGTGTAATTATACGGTGTCCCAATTTCCGTTCAATACATTCAAACCATACAATTAATAGGGTTATGATAATCACAGTCCACAATTTATACACCAATGCACATTACACGCCGACATCATGTTCTTTATGTAAAACAACGAAACACTGCCATCTTCTTTTCGAAGGCGGTAGGTGAGCCGGTTACAGAAACTACATCGGTATTGCATCGTTCTACAGTAAAGCACAGCTGTTCCACTACACGCCACGTAGGCGCTTCGGGGGGGAAAAATCGGCATAGCTCCTACTCATTTTTAACCTCGGCACTGGATGTGGGTGAGTGGTCAGCGTTGCGCCCCGGGAGAGGATCCCAGTACCCTTGGGTTGGAGGCTGGGTGGGACCCAGAGCTGGTCTGGACACAGAGGTTAGAGGAAAATTTCTCTGTACAAAGGCTTTGAAATTTTGGCTTGACAGTTACGGTAAAGAAATGGAAACTGATTCATTCACAACTATAAAACGGATTTCAGTTCTATTTGAGAATTAGCTCGGCCAACAAGAAGAGTAACTTCCATTCGATCAGTTACTACGAGCATAGTTTCTTCCTGGTGTGACTACACGTGTATGACTTTTCCCCCTTTTTATTTTGTCAAAGCAAACTTGTTTCCTTTGTCACAGACAGTGCTAAAGATACGTAATCAAATGGGGAGCCAAAGAATGGATAGTAATTCAAATTGTATATTTGTATTGGAATAAGGTTTCCATGCAAGTAATTATATCGTACACTCAATGTAATTTCTTTATTTAGTTACAGTGACGAAAGAAAACAAACTAGGCACACGTGCTCTTCAGAAAAATGTGTTAGTGCAAATACTACACAGTTATAAAGTTTTGCTGTGGAGAATATTTTTCATTCATTAGAAAATATACCAAAATGGGTCAGTACTTGAAGGTACTTGGGTGTTTAATTCAAATTAGTACCAATGTGACTTCCTGTAGACGCCATAATCCACGAGTTTCTTAACTGTTGACTTGTGGATGCAGTGATGAAATTATTTCCTTGAATATTTTTTCGTAGGTCAGAACTGTTAACATATTTGATTCTTTCTTGTACATATTACCACTCACAAGTATATAAACAAATCACATAAAATAATTCTTTTTTATATGCGTATTAAAATTTACATTTGTTTAGTTCTGAATCCTTGACATAATAGTTTAATTTATTCGTATAATAAATAACCATGTCAGTATTAACATATATCAACAGCGAATATTAACCAACACTGACAATTTATATATGAATATTGTTCAAATGATGTATTTGCAGTGCTGCTACTGAATGTGGATGATCACGAGTAATTTTGTGGTTATGTGCGTCACAAGCCAGACTTGCTGTATGATATTAACTCAATGCCTGGATAGAATTTATACATAATTATTCCTCTGTCATACTCCACGTACGAAAGGTAAACAATAACTTTCAATTTCATTTAATTTTTATTTTATTCAAACTGGACTAAGCAGTTATTTACATGATAGGATGCAACCTTTTAAGACGTCAAGGCAGCAATAGTGCCGTGGTTCCAGTTTCAGATAAAGAAGTTCTTTGTGGAGGCGATTTATTGGCTGGTGAATCAACACGAATTCATGGGGACTATTTTTAATGCCTCCCAGAACAATCCCTAAACAAGGTTCATTTGAACAACTCTCATAATAATCATTTCTGAAAATGCCTATGTCAATGCAGATGGTTGCTTTTTTGTAGTCAACGTTGTTGCAAAAAAAAAAAAATTAATCTAAGCTTATATGTAAAAATATTTTTTTAAATAATACACGTATTTTTTATAACATATAAAATTATGGCCAAATATTTTAAAACAATAAATCCTCACAAAATTCTGAAAATGAAACTGTCTAGCGTTACCGATGTTTATTAAATTACCACTCAATTCCCTATGTACCGCTTCTGCTCAGATTATTTATTATAAACAATAGATATGTAACTATGATGAGGGTGGGCCAATTCCAAATTTTGTACGGAAATGCCGTTGAACAACCACGACAGACTAGTTCGAATGAAAATCAAGAACACAGAATGCCTTATGCTGTCCAATCGTCGCCATTTTTCTTAGTTCGATTAATCTGCCTCCTGACGGAAGCCAGCACAACCAACACGAAACTGGCAGCTGGGAAAATAAACTTTTGAGAGATTATCTTCCGAAGCAAATATCTCTCAACAAGAAAGACTCATTACATTTCGCATAACAAATAATTGAAATCGGGAACATCATTTAGACTTACCCCGTATTTAAGATATGCAGCTTATGAAAGTAGTTATTTTACTAACCCCTGTTATATTTTAAAAGACTATGCTCTACTTAAGGACCGTTCCACTATTTTGCACACACACACGGCACATTTTTATATAAAAACTATTTTGGATAACGTGATTATATTTTAGATAGATTCTTTGTAAAACTTGCACCAAGCAAGTGCTGTACCATTTCTTTAAATTTCGTGAGTCTAGTACAACACTGCGCTGTTTATTGTCTACAATCCTGCAGGCCTAGCAGAGTAGGTTGAAAGGCGAGGGTTAAATACAGAACAGAAATACAGATACTTGAGCACAATCATAAAATCTTTAGCTCTCTCAAATCAATGCAATAAAGATGACAGCTAATACACTAATGATTTATGGTACTTTTTTAAATATAATTTCTTATACAGTGTGTCCACAAAGTCCCTTCGGGGTTTTGAAAAAATTTGGCGCGCAAACAAATTGAGCTAGCCACATGCGGTTTGCGGTAGATTACAGTGAAACTCTGGAAGATGGTGCTCCACCTCATTGGGGTCTGCAGATACGCGCGTACCTAGACAGGGCATTTCCAGGAAGACGCATCGGCAGAGACGATCCAGTGCCTTGGCCTCCACGTTCACCAGACATAACACCACTGGATTTTTTCCTGTGGGGTCATGACAAGGGCAATGTGTTCCGAACACTTGATGACTTCCGGACTTGATGACCTGAAGACCCGTATCAGGAATGAGATCTCGGGTATTCCGGCGGACATACTCCACAGAACATGGCAAGAGCTCGAATATCGTCTGGGCGTTCTCCGTGCTACCAAGGGAGCCCACATCGAGGTCTACTGAGGTCAGTAAAAAACTTCCAGAGTTTCACTGTATCTGCCGCAAACCGCATGAGGCTAGCTCAATTTTTTTGCGCGCCACAATTTTTCAAAACCCCGAAGGGACTTTGTGGACACACTGTATATCTTCTTATCGTATTGAGAAGGTGCACCTGCATTTGGGTTTGTAGCCTCTTATAAAAATACGTTATTTATCACATTTAGAATCCAGTGAGCTTGCTGGCTCAGATAGCAAAAATCTCGCAACAAATTTGTTTTTAATTTCTTCTGGTGTTACGAGCATTTGTTATTGATGTTTTTATGTTAGCACTTTTCTCTAGCTCATTTTCTGCAGGGTCAGTTATCTTTATTCCCATTTGATTCACTTATGTACGTGCCTAAGTTAAGACGTAAGACTATGTTAAGACTTAAATTACATGCTTGCATATATCACAAATACAGTTCAGCAAAATGAGGTAGAGGGTGACGAATAATTAGAAAACTTACCAATACATTAATTAAATGTGATTAAATGATTGTCTTGCAAGAGCTATATAACAGGTTACAACTTTCCTTAAATTAATAATGTATTAAGCTGGTATAAGGAACAGTAGAAGTGCAGATATATACCATCTATAAGCGTTACAGCATACGACAGTTGGGACCAATGTCTGTGACAAAGTTTTCAAAATTAATTCGTGAACAAAAAGATCATACTTTATTTTAAAACCAATGCAAATTTCATCCATAAACTGAGAGACGTTTTATATTATTTTGAAATAACGTGTATAATCACGTGGTGAAATGATACGATCTAAGATTGGTTGAAGTGCCGTGACATAATTTCCATCTTCAGACGTGTATAATGAATACAACGCACATATCATACTTAGCTCTCTGTTTCACCATGTAAGTTCACTGTTATCTTCATGTTAGCAGATCAGTTAATTTAACCTTTATTTTACGAGTATTGGCAATTTAAAACCTCGAATAAAGAGGTTTTAAGTGTTTAGCAGTACTCTACAACAATACGTGGCCACGCACAGTCAGCATGATAACATGTAAAGCAGCGACATTTGGTGGTCTAGCGGTTAGAACGCTGGCCTTGTAATCCTGGGGTCCCGGGTTCGATTCCCGGCGATGCTCAGATTTTTTTTTTACTTGTGTTGGCCAAGGCCGTGGTCTAGGCATCACGGAGTTTTCCTCCGGGACTTCCCCGGTTTCTCCGTGGCGTCCCAAAAATTACTCCACTTTAATAATCATCTCACAAAAAGGGGGTCACAGCAGGAGCGTTAAATGTCGCAGTCCCGATCGAACCCATGTACTGATGGGTCGTGAATCCTGCTAACCACCAATGCACACCATGCCGAATGGTGTGTGCTGGATACGAAAAAAAAATGACACTTGGTTGATAAAGGTTATGTTGTCGTATATTAAGAACGATAGGAGAAACTGAATATTATTATGTTCTGCAACATTAGATAAAGGGTTAAGAATGTTTGTGTAGTTTGATAAGGGATGAAAAATGCATTGGAAAGCCACGCAGTTACAAAGTATAATTTGAGGTTCTGATGGCGGCGAGTCTTCTGGGTTGTTCCGCCGTGTAGTCTGGTAGAAGTCTATCGACATTTCAGAGGTCCTTGCTGCCTCCATCATTAGGGTGATCGCCCCGATGATGCAGACATCAAGGATCTCTAAAACGTCGATAGACTTCTACCAGACTACACGGCGGAACAATCCAGAAGACAGATATCTTCAGACAGTTAAATGTCGCGGTAGACTACGCGGTCCCATCCGTACGATATTTCCACAAACATCTGTCAATTATTTACGTGCCAGTTACGTAACACAAGCTCGTTACTGTGCAATGAAGACAAATAGTTATTTCCATCAGTATAATAATAATAAAAAAGAACACTATTATTTTATGCAGTCACTGTGACTACGGCATTACACATATCACGCAACTGTATGCACAGTCTATCCTAAGATCACGACGCAAAATGGAAATCGCAATTTGCTTAATTCCCACTTTGCGTCAAAATCCAAGGGTTATTGGAAGCACCAAACTTGAAGAAGTAAAGCAGTACTGAGAATTATTTACAAGATTATAGAATACGTAATGCTATACAGTGATTAAGTCTACTTCTTAGTCTTTTATTTCACTGTCCATTTATTCCTGTACTCTGTACTTTGGTCTACACGCAGATCAACTCCCTTTTGGGTTACGTCATCTCGTCACTAATTTTTCTCTGATTTCACATCGAGCAGACAAAAATGTTATTACTTATAAAATTCCGCTACCAACATTTGCATCCACCTGTTTAATTACTAAAATTCCAGAATCAGCGTTCTGGTTTTACGTTCTACGTCTCAACCAAATATTTCCATAGAAAGCTTTCGATATTATCAGATATGAACCAGAACGTTCTGAAAATTTTAAAAGTAGAATATTAGACTCGATATATCTATAGTTTTATTTTTGAGGGCAGTAAAGAACACATCAAGGTTGTAGTTTTATGATTAGAGAACAATATCTTCAGTCTCCGGGTCGATAACCCATGTTTTTGCGTTTGAGAAACATGTAGATCTCCTTAAATGTGGGGCGGAGACCCTCATCACGCCTCCAACACTCACACATCAAGTCATAGACTTCCACAGGGCATAGCGTTGGTTTCGGCAGAAGGACCTACGAACAATAACGATACCACGCTGAATTCTTCTTAATATATTTCTATCTCATTATATTTCTATATTTTACAAGGTTTTAGGTTCTAAAGCGGCCCATCCACATACGAGTCTGACTTGCGAGTCTGGCTCGGCGAGCTTGACTCGTGAGCCGGGCTCGTACGTGGATCGGCCGCTTTACTGGAGCAAATATGAAACTGAGTCTTGTACCACGTAGTCTGAAACAGGTTTACTGACATTTCAGAGGTGCTTGCTGCCTTTATCATCAGGGCAACGTTTGAAACATCAGTAAACTTCTACTTAGCAAAATATCTTGAAAGACTGTCGTCTTTATTTATATATTTTATTTGATGGCATAATTACCTGAAGTTCTCCGCCATAATACATATGTTCGGCATTTTGTATCACCTGTTCATTGGACAGGTGCTGGAATGGTTTTTCACGTGCCAGACTTAGAATCTCCCACAAAGTGACGGCAAATGACCACGTGCTGCTAGAGCACGTGTACCGGTCCTGTGTACGAACACCGTTACATTAATTTCAACCGAGTCTCTTCAGGACTACCATTTTAAGCTTTATTACAAATATAATATAAATTAACATCTTAATATTTCATAGATAATACAGTATTTTTTTCTACACTGATTAATAATGTGGAAGGTAATCATTTAAGTCCAAGCACGAACTTTTTGTAAGCTAAAATCACAATTAAATCACAATTAAACTGATTTAAACGGTCAATCACTGATAGGTTACTATTAATTTTACTTACGAGCAGAATACTCTCCCACGGCAACCACCGGATGGGCGCAGGTGGTCGGCTCCCAATTTCGCTGTAGTCTTTGTGATACAGGCCGCTGCACATCGCGACATCTGCCAATTTTACGTGGTAGCCGCGTCCCACTAGACAGTTTCTGCATGAAGGGGGCAAATACATTTTTGATTTTAGCAGGATTCATGATCGGGACCGCGACATTTAACGCTCCTGCTGTGACTCCCTTTTTCCGAGATGATGATGATGAAAGTGTAGTAATTTTTGGGATGCCACGGAGAAACCGGAGAAGTCCCTGAGGAAAACTCCGTGTTGCCTGGACCACGGCCTTGCCCAACACAAGTTAACAATCTGGGAACCGCCGGGAATCGAACCCGAGACCCCAATATTACAAGGCCAGCGTTATAACCGCTAGACCACCGTGGTTACGAGAAAACATAACCTCTGGTAATGTTGTAGCTCTATGAACGTTACACTCGAGAGTTTTAAAAAATTTTCACAATTTTTGCAAGGTAATGAAATATATAACAAGTTTTTTTTACGTAAGAAGAAGGTAAATATAATAACTCACCTGGCAGCTAAATCCTTATGTACGACATTCTTGGATTCTAGATATCGCATACCGGAAGCAATCTGTGTTGCCATGAAGATTAGGCAACCGTAACTGTTGGGCACAAACAACTGTTAACACGTACATTTGAAAAGACATTTCGTTCAGTTAATAAAGATGTTTCATAATACAAATATACGATGTTGAACTGTATCGGTACTATACAGGGTGAGTCAGTAATATGTTTACAAACTTCATGTGCGTGTTCCAGGATCAAAAATAAGAAAGAAAAAAATTCCTATCAACATGAGGTCGCAAATGTTTCATTTTAGAAATAATAGCCAAAAATAAGTTTAATTTGGACTGCATTAAAAAAAAATTAAAACATTCCGTACGCTACGTCAGCATCTTGAACTAATCTCACCTCAAGGCCTGTAAGTTGGTAGAGGGACGTACAGAGGCAGTCACTGGCACTCTGTATTGTAGGTAATGAGCGAGGTCGCCCATGTCAGGGTATTCCAGGACTGTCCACGGTGGCTGCTCTGCTGTACATATACCCAGAACTCGCACTACATTCGGATCGCTTAGGCTTGCTAGGAATCTAACTTCTCTTAACGCATCAGTCCCAGATTCCGAGGACTTTGAATTAGAGGTACGGACCGCTACTGTTCGCCCGACACCTGGCACTATGTCTTCCAGTCCCTCTGTCTCACATAGGATTATCTGAACAGTAACACGAAAAACATTCTTAAGCGGTTCATCCACGTACGAGTCTGGCTCGGCTCGGGTTCCATCGGGCCAAACTCGTTTGTGGGCGGGGTATCACGAGCCGAGTCTGCTACGCATGCGCGGTGAAATATATCCGAGCCCGGCTCACGAGTCAAGCTCGCAAATCAGACTCGTACGTGGATGGGCCGTTTTACAAGATACAACTCACGTCAATAAAGATTAACAGTAAAAATAAAAATTAAACATTTTATTTTTGCACATTCACAAAAAAATGTTATGGAATTCGGCATCGTATGAAGTTACGAAATATATAATTAAATATTAATATTAATTATGCTAACCTCTCCTGCGTGGCATGTTCCAATTTTTTCAACCATGCGAAGGCAGTAACGTGGAATCGGCACTAGCTCTGCTTCTCGACATTTATACGCGTGACCCATACTGGGAGCTATGTTCCATGTCACTACTGGAGGTGGTACCTGTACAAATGATGGTCGCATATTTTATAGAAACTAACATAATAATTATTTCATCAGTGTCTGTAAATTGTTAACACATAGCTTCACTTTGAAATATAATGGCAGAGACTGGTCTACCTAAAGACTCACGCACTCTAATGCTGTATTAACCTTAAATAACGTTTATAAGATCACGTGACACAGGGTGGATGGGAAATAAGTAGGCAAGCTGCGGCCGGCCATCTTTGTTGCCATTGCGCGTGCTGCCTCTCTCGGCCACTGCCCAAACCACCGACACGAAAATTATGAAATCCTATTTCGTGACGTAATGCACACATTATTTTCATTTATATGTAAATTAAAGAGTAAATAAAGGGCTTTTTCTACATGATGTTTACTTTATTCTATAAATTGTTGAAATAATTACCCAAAACGTATTAACTATACCCTCGTTCCTCAACTTCAACCTCTTGCCACGTCTAAAGCGTAAGAGTTAGATCTGGACATATTGCGAGTGAAATACGTAAATAAACACGAGCTTTTCAAATTTTCAAACAGATTTCAGCTAACTCTTACGGTTTGGGAGTTTTGGTCATTTATTTGGTAACAAAGAAAGGTTCTAGAGAGAGTGTGTCGAGTACATGACGTCACGTACAGATAAGATGTAAAGGTATTACATTATTGCGTAAATAAAATTTTATTTCGGTACAAATATACTTGTACAGTTAAACGTTATTCAACGTTAAGTTGACTTACCCTGTGCTTCTCGCGCGGTGCGGTGTGGTATCGTTTTCTGCTGGGTGGGTCCGAGGCAACTCTGGGGAAGTAGTTGCAGAGGTTAATCACCTGCGATTTAGGTCCAACTACTGGCGTTGTCTGAAGACTTCGAAACTGTAAAGACGAGAAGCTGCCTGTTGCCGGAGGCGGTGTAGGGGTTTTCGTCACCGTATCGTCACTCTCTTGCCGTTCCGTTTCCTCCGGCATTGAAACGCTACCATCACGATCTGCTTCGGAAGTAACAAATATTATATATTTTATATCTTTATATATTATTATCGGAATTCAACCAGGATCGCACTTGATGTTAGACATTCTGGTTTTATTAACGAGACGCTAACCTGTGTTACTACGCAATGTAGCGTAATTGGGTCCGTAATACGTGTTCACCAGGGGTGAACGGTACTGCTCGAAGGTGAGTGATGGCGGATCACTCGGTGGATCCTGACTTGCTGGTGTCGGATGATTACTCACGTGTACCATTCCATTGCTGTTAACTGGTGCAAGATTCATCAACAGATCCTTCAAACCACGAAACAAATTTCAACTCTTTAGTAACTCAAGGAAAAAAAGGAAATTAAGAAGGATATAATTAATATATTCATCAGTGGTGATTATTAAATCCTATGCCAAAATTAGAAGAAAAATACGAGGTCTGTCCAAAATGTATCGGACCTTAATTTTTTCCCACGGAAACAAATGAAGCACGGGGATGCGTAGGGGACCTTCATGCGCATGCCTGAATTTTTTTTCCCCGCCGGCAGAGAGCAGCAGTCGTTGGCAGTCAGCCTGTGAGTGAGTGACCGCTCGTCGTATATAAAGAGATGTTACATTTGTTTTGTAATTTATATCTCAGGACAGTTCAAGTCCATCTGTCTTGTAACTAGTCTTAAATAATTAATTACAGAGAAAAGAAATTATTCTTCTAGGTTAGGAATAAAGTATGAGCTGCACCTTCATATTTATAGTAACCCCAAAAGGATTCCTTAGGATGGTAGGAGATCCTTGTAGCTTCTGACGTCTACTCAGAACGAGTATCACCACAAACACAATCAGAAGAAGCAACATGATCGCTGTTAGACCTCCAATGACAACTTCTACGTATCCTTGACCGTCTTTGGGCGCAGCAACTGTGTAAGAAAATTCAAAGAAAGGTCTTGATTTCATAAAACTGCAACACGTTAACAATGAATGTCACACAGTGAAACATTATGGTTAAAAAGAATATTATTTTTATTTTAAATGGACAGAGGAAGTCCAGTCATATACATTTTAAGGATTATTTACTTGTTTCTTCAGACTCACTTGTTTCAAACGTGTCCCAAGTAGAATCAGTGTCAGCTGAGTTAACAATGAACTCATCGTCACTCATACTTGCTTCAATTTCTTCTGTAATGTTTACCATTAGCGGTGCTGTAAAGATAAAAATAATTTTGAGAGTACAAGTTAACAGCATACTCTACACATTCGTCTCGATAGTTTACAAATTCAAGCAATCATCTAAAATGACTGGATAAGCTGCAATAATATTCAGGTTTGTTGGGTTGCTAAGCACGTACGTCAGATGTGGTAAATCATCCAATGTAATTCAAAATATTCTAGAGGTGAAACTGTATAAAGCACAGTGGTGATTTCTCTTCGCTGATTTACTAAGAATAAAATGAAAACCAGTTTCGTATCACATTTCAAAAGGCCAATTTGAAACGCCACTTCAGTTTTAATATATCAAGTTGGTATTACAATAATCCATTCCTTGTCTGGACGAGTCCGCCGTTCGTGCGATGCGGACAAAAATTAAATTAATTTCTTACGGTGGCGACTCTGGTGGCAATAATTGTAAACGAGGATAACGAGGTTATGGTTTGGTGCGGCGGAGTACGCTGACGCTCGTAGATCGAAAGAAAGGCCAGCTTCTTGAAAGTTAATGCTGCACTAGACTGTATTACTGCTCAACACAAAAACGTTATATTTCCGTCAGCTTTGGCGAGGACATGTGTTTTGCTTTCATGTGAAATAATTTTGCCATGATAGTAAAATTATAAATAGCTTCAGAACCATGAGACTTGCTGCATTATTTATCCCGTTAGAACATACATAGTCTGCTTCTTTTAATTCACGAATGACGAAACACCTACTTCTGTTTAATACTAACTGTAGGGACAGATGACAAGTATGAAAGCCTTAGCTTAACTTGAGAATGAACTCAGGCTTCCCGAATGCAAACGATTATCAACCTTATTCTTACCAGATCTTGCATTATACGCTGCAATAACTGTTATATCCATACCAAAGAAAGTTTTTATGTGTCGAAACACGAAACCGTCCATTGAGCAGAAGGTGTTGCTACGTTGCCTAATCTCTCAGATTGTTGGCCAGACTATAGCGCTCTCATGCGAGTATCTAGATAACCACTAGTCTTTGTTGGAATATATACTGAATCTATTAAAGTGTTGTATAACCTCAAAGTTAAACCATATTCTGTAAGTGAAATTTTATTGAAAAGAAAGAAGTTTGAGACTTTCGTGATAGATTTGAGGGTGGCTTTAAGTAGTAGTAGTAGCATGTGGCGCCTCTGTGTGTGGTAGCACGCCTGGCTTATCGTCTTTCCATTACAACAATCCACAGACTGGGTGGACGACGGTAGAACACACGCAACTGGATTTCCTTCCTCCCTTCTTTGAGGTAAAAGAAAAATGCGTCATCGAAAAAGGAGAAACAACTGCATGCTGATGGAGACTCGGTAAAAGGGAAGTTTCATGCCACATTAGCGTTGGCTCAAAGTCGTAGCTAGAATGTGAGGGCGTCTTTTTATCAAAACCTTGGAAACAAAGATGGTACTAGCTAGAGTGCAAAGTTTGACAAGTTAAGATTACTGACACAAAATAAGCGAGATATTACTACTTCCAAAAGATTGGTTAATTACAACTTTACTTTAAATACTGTTGAAGATGTGAGAAAACTAAAAGCAGATCTAAAACAATTTGTTGCCCAGAAGCTGTTTCGCGCAAAATCAGTGGTTTCCTTCACAAAGTGGGAAATTTGTTAAAGTTGATGACGTCAAACACAGATATTTGTAAATAATTACACACTTAAGCCAGATGTTACCGTTGGTTACGACATGATGCCGAATTTCTATTTAATATTCTTATTTCGGTTCCAATCACGTCGTCATTCCTTCCGCCAAATTCTTGCTCAAATTAAATTAAAATTACAGAACCTATTTAATCGCTATAAGGGAAAGAAAGGGACAGTTAAATAACAACACCTGACATTGATGGAAGGTTTTCTCACGTTTCAACTAAGTCTTGCATGATAGAGCCTACGATTTTTTTCTATTTTGTAAACTTTCACGCAAGGCATGCGTCTAATTCTACGTCTGAAACAAGAAACTGAACGTATAATCCAAAAAGCAACCGTTTGCCATGTTTTATGTCAGATATATAGATTAAGCTGCCACATACGACGAATTCTAAAAGATCTTTATTTTTTTTCCTTTCATTTTAAATTCGTGGCTATTCAATAAGCCACAGATAAGCGGTACGTGCAAAAGTGAAAAGTGATAGGAGATTAAATTTCTAGGCTATTACTCTGTATCTCTGTCCATTTATCTTTAAGCTCAAAAACAATTTCGAGGTACTGTAGCACTACAAATATTAAATATTTACAATGGGCATTGAAGCGAACATTTTGAGCTACATGCATTTGAAATGTGTATCTTGGAGCGTACTTTAATCGATTTATAACTTTTTAAAGCTCTGCAGTAAACAAATTAAGGAAATTATTATTATTTAATTATTATTTTACTTGTTTATTATTAGATCATTTAATTGTTAATTATTTTGCAATAATAAATTAATTGAATTATTATTATTATTAATTTGGACATTTATATATTAAGTTCATTTTTGTTAGTGCTTGGATGTTATTGGCATTTTTGGCTGTTGTTAAGCACTTAAATAAATGAAATGAATTGAATTATTATGCACTTAATATTCTTTATCGTCTAATCATTCCGCTTTCCACAAGATACGTCACAGTTCTGCTGGTACCATAATGTAATCGACTGGCAGCGATAATAACAACTCACAATCCCGCGTCGCGTACGAAATTAAAGTGTAGGACACGTAGGAACTATGTGTCAAATTGGAAACCCCCACACAATGTAACAGTGTTCTTGGTTTCTCAAGTACCCTTCGTGTTTTTAATTAGAAATAAGCTAACTCAAAGGATCCTTCTACTTCACATGTGGTAAGCTAGGGTTGAATACCAATAAGATACGTGTCCTATGAACAAGCACTTGAACCAACGGATTATCTAAGACAGTATTAATTTTATACGCGACTAGGCTTATTTCTTATATTTATGCGTTCATCGTTATATTTCTAAGGTGTCAACTGATAATCATAAAATATGGAAAAAAATCTTGTTATGGTTATTATTATTATTATTATTATTATTATTATTTGTTGTTCTGTCTGACGACAGGTCCATATGAACAGGATCCTTCCATCCTTTTCTCGGACTGGGACCTGTTCATATACGTTCTTGGCAGATGATCCAGAAGTGGTTTGCCATTGCCTTCTTCTGTGTGTGAATGGAGTAATTGTTGGGAGGCCACGGAGAAACCG